TATAAGGATAACTATGTAAGGATAACTATATAAGGATAACTATGTAAGGATAACTATGTAAGGATAACTATGTAAGGATAACTATATAAGGATAACTATGTAAGGATAACTATGTAAGGATAACTATATAAGGTATGTGACTAGAATGGGATTTGCTTAGAATCCTGATTGGGAAAAGAAAGGCTTACCAGATACTTCTTCATTATGAGCTTTCATTGTGAAGACTGGTTTATGTGAACGAGCATCAAGACAGTACACAAATCCATCTTCTGTGCTAGCCTACAACAAAGCATTTCAAGAGATCTTAAAAATAAAATCAATCAGTAGGTCACCATTCTCAATCTGAATAATCTTCCAGAAGTATGGACTTGAAATCCCAGAACTCTCCAGCCTGAATGGTCATTGTAGAGAATTCTGAAAGCTGAAAGGAAGACGACCAAGTTGGGAAAGACTGCACAGAAAATAAACAGCTGGAGGTTTTGGGGCCAACTCTAGTCATGCAGGTACTGTTACTCCTGGTTTGATAACAAACAACAGATCAGAACGAGTAGTATCCATGACAGCACGAACTTGCCATATTTAGGGAGATTTCAGACTTCACTGTCAGGAACCTCTACGTTCCCAAAGCACCTCTTAGGCAAATAAAGGTAACACAGCACCACCAAATACCAGACAGTAAGCCTGCCACTTATTGGTAAGTGTTTTACTATAATATACATTGATTATTTTATTTTATCTTAAAATATGCTGGTTGCCTTGAAAACTTTGGATGACAAATACATTAGGGCTATGCAGCACTTTGGATTCAAAGGAAAAAAGATGTTCCAAGAGTACACAGGGACATTTGTTGCTATGTACACTTACTGGAAAATCCTTTAATCAACTTTTTCCAATGATTGCCTTGCAGTCATATGATGCAGTTAGGAAAAGATGCAACTGCTTTAAAGAGTCGCCAGCAGATGCTACATGAATGTACCCCACCCCTGGTCCTCCAAGGCACTTTTTTTTCCATGTTACTTACTTACTTGTTTAATGGACTTAAATGCTGCATAGCCTGCATAAATGCATACAACAGGATGGATGATACAAAACACGAGAAAGAATCAGGTATTTTACTTACTAAGAAGTGGTGAGGTGAAAAATGATTCCAAGTTACTCTTTCAACTTGTCCACTAAATCTCCAGGTTCTATGGTTGTTCTGTGGACTTCTGCAGTCATATAAAATGGTTGATCTGAAAAGTATAAATAGATATTTACTCAAATTTGGCACCTGATTTTTTAAACATCATAAACTAATATTCATATACCCATCAGACAGAGAGGTCATTTTTTTTTAATCTAATAAAATACTTCTCCTATTCCAGTTGAGTCATTAGAAGAAGTCATAGCAATCCCACTGGTTATACAGACAATAAACAGTGAGTGCATGCCTATCAAGTAAAGTTGTTGGTTTCAAGTGGCCTTATTCCTAGGTAAGTATGCAAAGAATTATAGCTAAAATAAGGTTGACCATTCCAGTTAAGAATACACAGGGAAGCACTTCCATCAATCATACCAAAATTTATAGTACATGTTTTACAGAGGATATTAACAAAATAGTATCTGTGTCAGGTTATGAAGGAAATATTACATTTTATTATTTCTCTCTGCCATTATATGGTTTATATATTTCCTGCACTCTTACATGTGTGATAGATACAATAGAACATGCTTGTCCTTACTTGTCATAAGAACCAGAAATGAGAGTCTGTGTTTCAAAAGGATGAAACTGCAGTGTTTGCACCTAAAAATAACAAATTAGATTTCAAATATATTTACATCAAAATACACTTTTACAGTATAGAGGATTTTAAATAATTCTCATTATAATCTTTTCACAAACAGAAAGGATTTTTCAATTATCTGTTTAATTGCTAATTCAAAGCAGAATTGCATACAATCATCAGCATGTAAAATTTATGTTGGCTAAAACTTCATTATGTGGAACAAAATGTCTGGAATTTTTAATTAGTTTGAACATGTATAATTAAATGTTATTTGTTCAGAGCTCATTTAATTAGAATACAAATATCCAAAGCAATAGCCATAGAAAAGTAAGATCAAATCTTGCTTGAATAATTATGTTCACTAGGAGTTGACATTAATTTCTATCACTGGGCTGTGACTACATAACTCCTCACAAAATTAGCTAGAGCTAAATCTAAAATTTAAAAGAGATTCTCCCTAGATTTTTACTTTGGTCGCCAAACTGAAAAGATATTTTTGAATACGGCTAAACCTGTATTTAATAGGGCCAATGAATGATAGTTGCTATACATGTAACAGGTACATAGGAAAAAAAATCACAAATGCAGGTTTTCATCCTCACAGCTGCCTATCAGAACTCCTTTTATAGAAAAATGGATAAAAAGTCCCATCCATCTTAGTAGTTGATCATCTGATCCCTTAGAATTCAAATAAAATTTTATACTGAGGTTTTGAACCTAGTTTTGTTTTTACTTCCTTCATGTTTTCCTTTTAGTATTCAAATCCAAAATCAAATTTCCCAATTCTATTTTAGTTCTTCTTTTAATAGATGCAGCAGTTAGGCTTAAATACCACTTAAGAGAAAGTTTATTTATCTATGGTATATACAATACATAAAGCCAAATTTTAATAAATCTCATGTCTTGGCATGCCATGTGAACCCAATCAATTTCTTAGTTCATAAATCCTCATTTAGCAAGGTTCTCAGATACCCCACTCCTTCCTTCTTTTTCCTAGATTATTAAAGAATAATGACCATCTGTGGGAAACCTAAATGTTTCTTCAACAAATCATGCACACAGAATAAAACTTAAAATATTTTTGCTTATATTGCTTACATATGGAATAGGAAGCTGCTGTTCCTGAAATTAACACAGCAATTAAAAGTACAGTACAAAAGCACTTCCAAGAAAAGGGTAGGAAAAATGAGAAGCTGATTTTCTAGTAGCAAGTAGAATAGATTCAAACTCTCTGAATGAAATTGGTCTGTCATGTTTTACCCAAAAATAACAGTATAAGAGGGGGGAAAAAAAAAACAAATTTGCAGTCATTGCAATACATCTATCCTATTGTGCCAGAGATTTCTTTGTTGTTTTGCTGCAGTAGATGAATCTGGCTGTGTTTTTAGAATCGTCAACATACCTTGTCTGTGTGGAGAGAAAGATTTGCTGCTATTGTGCCCCTGGACATGTCCCAAAGAATTACAGAATGGTCAGCTGAGGCACTCGCCAAGACAGATCTAAAAGAAACAAGTGTACTCATTTACAAACAGTGTCAATGGCAGGTCTTAGACCAACTTGCGGCTCATCCTTCCTGTCTCGTCTCTATTCTGCCCAAAGCTGAAACTATTCAGGTATCATAGAAAGTCCTGCTGAAACACACACACACACACGTTCATTGCTTTTAAATAAAATCTAGTCACTTTCTAAGTGCTCAGAGGGTTTTTTGGAACTCAATGGCATATAAATTGCACAATGAATAACTGAATGAATAAATATAATTTGACTAATTTAACAGTTTCTGAAAAAATATTTGCCCCCTTTTGGATTTTCTGAATTTTTGCATATCCTTGCTTCTAAATGTTATTGAACCTTCAAGGGGGTCCTATGGAATGAAAAGCCATCACTAAGTTTGGTGCCTGTTTCATAGATTAAGTCATCCTATGTGGTGTGCCAGTGTAATCCCACTGCCCCCTTAGATTCAGTAACTGCATCATCTTTAGCTGCAAAACTACAGCCAAACACTTCCTGTTCATCAGCATCTCAGATTACTGCATAGGAATTCTCGCCCATTCCTTCAACTCAGTAACACTGCTGGTTTCTGGCCCTGCACACATCTGTGGGATTTAGGTCTGGACTTCCCCAATACAAAACGTTTATTCTTCTGAATAAATTATTCATTATCCATTCTCTTGATTGTATATTTGGATTCATTACCTTGCAACATGACCTGCTTGCATTTCAGCTGACACACTGATGACATATTCTCCTGCAGAAGTTTCTCACGCACAGCAGAATTCACACTTGCTTCAATAACTTGCACGCAGCTTGAAAAGTTTCACTTCTAACTCATCTGTCTATAGAATATTGCTTGAGAAGCCTAGAAAATCATTCAGGTACTTTTTGGCAAGCCTGAGACAAGCACTAATGCTGTTCTTTAATGAGCCATAGCTTCTACTTTGCTACGCTCCTCTCCTATGAATCTGGTTTTCCCCCAGTGCTTTCCTGAAATCATGACCACTGACTTCAGCCAAGACAAAAGATCCTTGGACAGCGTTCTGCAGTTCTTTGTAACTTCATGAATTATTTTATCTGTGCTATTGGATTGATTTTGACAGTGGCCCTCTAGGGAAAATTCACTGTTGTACAAAATCTTAACTTCCAGACTATGTCTCTGACTGGCCCCTGAGGTATACAGCCTTTTTTGGCCTGATTGGTATCAATTATTTTTCTACAGAGGTCTTCTGAAATTTCTTTCGAGTTAGATTCTAGAATCTGTGTGGCAAAAATGTCACTGTGATGTGGGAAGCCAATGTTTGTGAGACACATACAGAGCTGAGCTATCCCAAATCAGCCCTGGTTATTTAACTGCTTACATAACTGGCCTGGGGATTATTTTTCTCACTGGCACATCTCATGCTAGATTATTCATGAAATAAACAAAACAAGGACCACACTTATTTCAAATCTGTATACTCGTATACAGTACAGTATGTATGTGTTTCCCCATGAAGTCTTGGTAACATTCAGTAGCAAAGATATATAAATATTTAGAAAATCCAAACAGTAGCAAATAGTTCTCAACAGAACTGTATACTTGCACTCTGCAGTGACTGCCTTTAAACCAAGTTTGGTAAAGATATGATGTATTCTGCTATCCCAGCCCAACTTTATGGCTTCATACAGTGATGAAATTAAGCCAAAGAAGTTTGTCCACCAAACAAATTAATGAAGCTGCATAAGTCAAAAGCGTATTTAAAAAATATGTTTTCATGAAGATGAATAAGACTGAAATAAAGACGACGCAATTGCACCATCTACTGCAATTATCCTAAAGATACCATTAACTATGACTCCACTTTATTATTGTTGTTGTTCAGTTGTTAAGTCGTGTCCGACTCTTCGTGACCCTTATTTATTTATTATTATTATTTATTAATTTATTATTAAAGTTGTACACCGCCCATCTCCCCCCAGTGGGTCTCCCCCCACTACTTTGATGCAGTGGGACTCCAACTATGAATCACTTTGGTGTAGTGGTTAAGGTGCTGGGCTAGAAACTAGGAGAACGTGAGTTCAAGGCCTCTCTTAGGCATGAAAGCCAGCTGGGTGACTTTGGGCCAATGGCTCTCTCAGCCCAACCCACTTAACAGGGTTGTTGTTGTGGGGAAAATAGGCAGGTATGTTTGCCGCCTTCAGTTATATATAAAAAAGGTGGGATAATAATAACAAAAAACACGCACATAGATTACTTCACTGCGCATGTGAACTATGGAAATATTTCTACAAAACACATTTACACTCATTTATCTTTAAATTTTTTTTTTTTACCTGAGATGTTTATTCCACGAAAGATCAAGCACTGCATCAGTATGCCCCTGATGATCTTCTCTGGATAAATTCTTTATGTAAAAAGATTAAGAAGTTTTTAGAGTTTCTAAATATAATAATAAATGACATTAATTCTATAACCCTCACACGGGTTTCCAAACTTGAGAGGTAATCTAGCCTTTGCTCTTTTAGCCTGCTGATAAATAAAACTACCTTAAATAGACTCAAACATACAGGGTCATTCTAGTCCATTATTTTCCACAATACCGGCAGCAACTGTCCTGGTAGCCAGACAAGAATCTTTACTGACTGAATCTGGAGATGCCAGAACCTAAACCTTTGTATGTAGAATGGAACTTACAAATACAAAGCGAGTATTCTATCACTGAACTATAGTCCATCTTAAATGTTTATTAAAATATACAGTCATAGACTAAACATTCCATCTCAGATGTACAGCCAATCTTCCCTGTGGGCTGGATTTTTAAGGAGTTCTCTGAGGTCATTTACCTATTTTTACCTTTGTAAAAAAGGATCACAGCTTCTGCCTGTAAATCCTTTTGTAAAAAATAATTGAAGGTGAGGAAGCAACCTTTTAATGTAATTCATTAAGACTAACTTGAATTTCACAAAATGTTATTCCATTTTCTTCCTGCTAAAGTTAAAAAAAAGTTGCTTGCCCTTTCACCCTAGCAAATAATTCTAGAATCATATGAACTCCTTCTCAAAGAGCTCCGCTGAGCCATCTTTCATTTGAAAGACATACAGGGCAAACCCAATGAAATAGACCAGTTTCCCCAAAATATCTTCCAAATTTGTTCAGTCCATCTTTCCCCTAATGTTCATCTCTAACTATTTTTTAATCAATTAAAATATTTATAAATATTAAGCAGAACAAGAATTTGAAAGCACGCTATGTGAAAAAAGGATACACAACCTTTCTATCTCAGGAGCCACCTTGCAAGGATCCAGACCAGGCTTGGACCGTGCATACACACACGTACAGACAAGCCTTCCCCTATGGACTTACAGTTTTCTGGAGAAGATTTTATCAGAGAATGACTGTATTAGGAAAGACAGCTGGGATGAATATTCTCATGAACTACTACCTCCAGCAAGTCTGACAACTTGGTCACCCACAGCAGGCAACATAGAAAGAGCATGTGTAGGTTGTATATATATGACAGAGACTGAAAAGGCAAGCAACTCTCTTCGGTCCTTACTCAAAAGTTTTAAACCTTATAAGGTTTGCTCATACTTACTTTCTTTTGTTTCTTTTTCTTTGTTTTTGCCTTCTTATTTCCTAGTGAAAAGACTGGCTCTAAAGAGTCCACTATGTCAAGATCCCATATTTCAATAACAGGATTCATTGTGCCAACAGCAATATAATTTCCTAAAGAAATATACAAGTTAATCTTGCATAGCCTCATAAATCCTATATATGGTTAAAAAACTGCTATCTGTCATTACCTAACATGTAGAGGTGTGTAGTATTTGGCTCCAAAGTAGGTATGGATGCTTTGGATCTGGCATGGGCACCCTTACTGTACCTGTTGAGTACTCTTAGAAGTAGAAGTCACTTTTTCATCACTGTGATAACCGCAAATGGTCACTAAACGAGGCAGTTGCTAAACAAGGACTATCTGTATTGAGTTAAGGAGGCAGCTCAAACATATATTTTCTCAGGCTCATGGTGTTAGCATGCAGACCCAGGAAGAGGATGCTTATGTCAGATCCAAAGCACACTTGCCTGTTTCAGATCCAAATATTGCATACTTCTGCTAATGTGAATTTCTACTAGTAAATTTACATTATATCATCTGACAGATCTGTAAAGAATAAATTAATAGAAAAGGTGTTTATTACAAGGAATGAGGCTGAGCACATAGAAGCACATGAATCTTGAAGCTCCATTTAATACTGGATGAACACCTCTTTGATTAAGCTTCCATTTGGTCATCCTCATTCATTAATTTAATTATCAAAATTGACGCAGTTTTGGAACTTGAACAATTTTCCTTGCATTTAGATGGAAAGGAGATGTTACGTGCTTAATCCCAAACACCAAAACTACACACAATTTCTCCCACTAGTCTTATTATGTTACATAATACGGGACACAATGGTAGCTTGACAGTCTTTACCTTCTTAGGGAAGACAAAGCCATTGGAAAATAGTGCCCTGAAATCTTATTCAGCCAGTTGTTCCAACAGGCTATCACAGCCATTGGAAAAACAATAAATTAGTTAAGATGATGCAGGATAACAAGACTCCCTAAATAGTCTACTGTAATATTTAATTTCTTTCCCAAAATCCTACAGGGCGATGCTTGGGAAATCCTACTTCTAAGTTATACACTTCTAAAACAATCCAGCAGAAAAACCGGAAAGGAACAAGAATGGTCATTGAGGCAGAGAAATGAATGCTCGGGGAGAAAAGAAAAAGGAAAAGGAAAATGGATGGTAGAAAAGGGGGGAAACAAGGGGGGAAAAAACCAGAAAAAAATATTTGTTTCCAACATTTGTTCCCATCTCTCTCTTTCTCGACCTTCATACAGATACCCCTGCTATCTATAAACATCAGTCTGAGTATTATTAAAAATCAAATTGTGCACTAATTTACCTGCAGAATCATTGGGATTAGGATCAAAGTTCATCCATTCCACACTTAAAGGGTATGCAGATAAAATAAGATCATGATGGACATAAAAGGAATCTTCTTCATGATTATAAACTGAAAGAATTAAGTTCCTTTAAGTAAATAAAGTGAATGTTAATTAAAAATCATACCCGTTACAAAAACATATGGAAGAATATATATGCTTACTCTCATGAGAACAGTAAGACTAACAGTACCACAACTATAGCATCAATCAAAGGTGAAATATGGGAAGACACCTCTGAGATCCTTTATAGAGGCTATATATTTAATTACAAAAAGATTGTCAACCATATGTTGTAATCTTCCCTCTCTCCTACAATTTACTAAGTTCTAGACAAGCAGAACTCAAAAGGAGATATGCAAGATGAACAAGTCCCCACAGGTTATCAGCATCAATGTTAATCATATTTGATTTACCTATTTACCCATCTCCATTTATTAGTCTCATGCTATACGAGAGGAATCAATAAGCAATACAGAAGGAGCACAGCTCAGTGGCTTTGTTAATGCATGATATGTCCCCAAAGAAATGCTGCTGGTCAAAGGAGACACAACTGGACCAAATGGATAAGTAGCCTGACCTAATATAAGCATCTGTTTCAATATTATGCAAGATGATATATACATTATCCCAAAATATTGAAGAGAAAGTGCAAGGAGGTGCAAGGCTATAAAAGTGAGTCGTATTTTCCACCAGATGCATTAAGAGAATATGGGAAAGCAACTTCCGTGTCGTCTAATTTATGTACATAATGACCGTCCACACAAGAAAAAATCCTAATTGTCCAAGGATTTCCACTCCTCTGGAGGAGCTGTGGGGAGTGGACGCTACTTTATGTTCATGGAGAGGGCCTGTTCTCATGATTCCTGGCCAATGAGACATAACTAGCAGATACGGCAGGGGCAGAGTGGCAGAGAGAAATCCATTCTTCTCCTTACATATATGACAGGTAGAGGAACTACTCACTGAATATATAGATTAGCACTAATTCACATTTTCACATAATTTATTTGATATCTACATATTTGCTGATTCTAATTAATAAAAATCCAGGGTTCTGGGTTATAATTAGTAATTTAATGCCTACTGATACTAGATAGTGGTCATAACTGGCCAAATCAATGTAAATTATTCCTGAAGAAATTAATACCTATTGTAAAATCCTGACCTGATATGGCATAACAAAATACTGTCAAAATGCTATCTCTATTACGGGACAAAAATTCCAAATGCCACCACACAATTACTATTATTCACTCCTTATATTTTTAGTGTGCGTTTCCTATTCCTTCCTTAATTATGCTGTACAACAATATTATCCTATGCCTATACATTCAGAGTACCCCAGTGAATTCAATAGGGCACAGCTGAAAGTACATTTGCAGTTTACAAGAAACAACATGATTCTATGAAACAGATTATATACAAATGACAAAAAGTGTATAGTTTTACATAGCACTGGCTGATAAAGATGTAACGATAAATATTCCATGAGGCATTCATTTTCTCATTTTTGGGAAAGTATATGATCCACCTGATTTGAAAAAAAATATCTGAGAGTTATACATAATACATCAAACTCAAAATGTGGCACTTCTAAACAAATATAAAATATTTGAAATTGTGCTTTTAAAGCAATTTATATCCTGTATATAAAGCCCTTTTTGGAAAGAGAGAAAGAATTCAAGGGCAGAGTTCACTGTGATGAATAAAGCTAACACAGGGAACCAATTTAACTTAATGAATAAACCAAGCCCTTCCATAGTTCTTCATTAAAGCCACAAGGATTTTAATACCTACCATGAATTTCTAGACTGCAGTGGTCCTTATCAACTCTGCCACATACAACAAGATTGTCATTTGGCTTAATCACAAAGTCGTCTCTCTCATATTGGTCCTAAAAGAGTACAAGTTTCAGTATGACTTATTTTTAGTCCAATTTTCAAATCCTTATTTTTATAATATCACTGTACTTAACAGATGTTCTAAAACAATTTTAGGTACAACCAAATATGCTTACTAGTCTTTTAAAAATTAACTGAAAACTATCCTGTTTCAAACATGGCTTGTCACATCACCTGATAAAAAAAATTTTAAGAAAAGAAAAACCTAATCCCTTTGGACTTCTAAAACCATTTGTGCACTTCTTCTAATCCCAGACTAAGTTTTCACAAATTTGGAGATAAAAGGTATTCAAAAACAGTACAAGACAACTAGGAGGATAACAGTGTGTGTGCGCGATATTTAAAGCTGAAACTTCAATGTCCATTTTTATTATTATGATTATCCTAACACTTCAAAATTCTGCCACTAGAAAGCCCAATGAGGTAAGATAAAATAAATTGCAACAATTTCTTTCCCAACATTCCTTCATTTAGTATATTTAAAAATGTTGCTACTAAAGATGTAACAATAGGAATATTGATTGATGGGATTTATACGGCCACCCATTTCACAAAAGCTACTCCAGGCAGCTAACACAGTTTAAAACAACAATATAAGTGTAACAAAAAGCATATAACAAAAAACAAAGGAAAATGCTACTGAAAATAAATCAATCCAGAGTTATTAACAAAACCTCATAGGCTTAACAGATATCCTCACCCCATGCCCAAAAGAACAGCCAGGTCTTAAGGACTTTCTGAAAGGTCAGCAGGGTTGGGGCCAATCTAATCTCAGGTGGAATGGTGCTCCAAAAGGCAGGTGCTGCGACAGAAAAAGGTCTTCCTGGGTCCCACTGAGATGACATTATTTAATTGATGGGACCCAAAGCATGCCCCTCCTGCCTGAAGATTTGAGCTCCGTTCCTCCAGTCCCACAAAGGATTTCCTTCTGTCCACGGAGGGGAGGGCAAGCCCTTCAGTGAACTTTAGAACCATTTGAGAGCGAAAGTTGAAACCATCTGGCAGGCAGTCTCTTTCGCTCTCTCTGCTTAACAACCTGGAGATCGCTTAACAATCGCAACTGAAAGTGCCCAGATTGGGGTTGTTGAGCAAAGCGATCATATGGGCATCTCGTTAACAACCGCTTCGTTCAACAATTGAGATTCCAGTCCTGATTGTGGTTGTTAGGCGAGGACAACCTGCATATAAAACCTCATGGATGTAAATACAAAGTAAGGTAAGAATTCACGGCCATCTCAAACAATTATTTTGTCTGTAAAGAGCCCTGGATGAAGCTACAATTAAAATAATTAAAAAGGAAAGACAACTGGGGACAGTACAAAATTATGATTTGAGGCATTCTTGTAAGGTACTTAAAAGAGAATCTTCAACATTAATATAGCCCAAATTAACATATATTAGAAAATTAGTTTATATCGAGTATGGTGCTGAAAGGGATAAACCCAGAAATATTTCAATATAAAAAGACAGATGTTACTCAAATACATTCTTTTCAAATTTAACCTGAAATATTTCTTCAAATAACACTTATCATATACCAACCATCTCAAATAAATAGAGAATGTTATCTTTACTCAGTATCAAAGCTGTTTATTTAAAAAATATCCAGTGTTAAGAAATAAAGCAACCATGCTTTAATACTCACAGTATCTTTAATAGTGATATATGGATCATTTTCATTAGTTCCATATACTGTAAGCCCTGCAAAGATCTCTCCAATGTCCTCAGTACCTATCACATGACAAACAGATTATTCTTGATCAGACTGTCATATAATTGTGAAACAAGGAGTATCCTTTGTAAAACAAACAGACACAATTGCACGTCCTTGTATGGAGAACCTGATGGTGTATAGCAGGAAGCAGAGATAGGTAAATACCTGCATTTTCCTCATCATAGTTATCCAAGTCATATTCTGCCAATTCATCATTGTCTAGCTTATCAGCGTCCTCATCCTTGGGAGTAGAGCTAGCTGCCTCAGCATCAGCAACATCCATGGCACCTGAGGTTTCTTCTTGTCCACCTCCATCCTCCTCCTCCTCGTCCTCCTCTGCCCTTCATGTAAAAAAGAAGCTAACATTTTCACTAATTTTGCACAGCTTAACATTAAAATGTCACTATTTAACCTCTAGTCACTTGTACAATTCCAAATCCCTTCTGTGCCAATGATTGTACAGGTTCCACCTATCTCACCATATAGTACTTCCAGGTAAGCATGAAGATGCACAGGACTGAGCTGTAAATCTGACACTGCTACTTGGAGATAAACTCAGAGCACTGACACAGTTGCAATCCCATAAAGAGAGACCTAACAATCAGTAGCCAGGCCACACCTATCTCCTTTAACAGGAAAAAGCCTTATTTGTCTGAAAAGCGATTTAAAAAATCACACTCCTTATCAGTCTCTTCCTCACAAAAAACATGGTTTCAACATGACTCCATGTTAGTACAATGATAATACTTCTATTATACATAAGCATATCTAGTCATATGTAATTACATTTTATTTTCTCTATTCCAAAATTTTACTGTTTTTATTCTCCCATTTCCCAAACCTGAATTGATCTGTCTACTTCTGGCAGTTTTTCACTCAGAGATATGTCAGTAGATTCTATTTAACCACAAATATTTTAGTTCTATGCTAAAAAAATACTTTATGGAAATCATATGCAAAAAAGAATTCTATACATATTCTAATATTTTAGAATGTCAGTTATATATATTTCTATGTGTAAGGATCAAAATAAGCTATGGGAAGGTCAAAGAGAAACAACAGGAAACTTTTAATATTTTGCTAAAACAATTCCATGCTACTAGACATATGATACTAGATTACTCAATCCAGTTTATATATTTCCATTGGACAAACGTTGTAATTAGACACAAACTAGATTTTAACTTGACTAATTATTTTTAGAATGAAGAAATACAGATGTTTTGCTGTAAATTGACTTTCACTGAATATCAGCTTTCTCAAACGTTTGTTTGAATGTAATCAAAACATACTCCAATTTCTCTTTAGCTTCAGTAATCAGACGCTTCAGTTCTTCCTTGTCAAGCTGTACCTGCAATATAAATATGAACAGTAAATTTTCCTATCGTTAAATCATGCCTGACCACTTGAAAAACAAAGAGCCATTTTTGAAACATGTTTCATCCAACATATTCTAATTAGGGCTATTATATCTGAGTTGCAAAATGAGATGGCAAAAGAGCTAGAATTTTTTATATCACTTTGCTACTGTCTCCTGGTTGCCCACATTCTCGATCCTCAGGTATTCTCAAATCCAGTCTGAGAAAGTAAGCTGTAAAACCCTCTAGAAGTCAGCTATTAAATACAACAAAAATGTGCCCAGGAAATGCAGATGAAGACATGGAATGGAATATTTGAAGCATCATGTGCTGTTCCCTGGTACATTATAAATCAAGGGAAGGCCTTTCAAAGATGGCACACTAAACAATTCTATATGGAGCCAAGTAAAATGCAGAGAATTACATGTAAGTATTAGATTAAAATCTGGAGAATTATGGCTATTATATCATATACACAAGAACAGTGAAAAAAATAGTTGTGCTCCATGAAAATCCAAATCCAAAGTTTTTATTACTGTTCTATAGTGTTACATTACAGAATTCAAAATTGCTTTGGAAAGTCACTGTTTTGCTACACATAATTGTAAAATACTATGAGCTTGCTTCATAAAGGGGGACAAAATATTGTTCCCGTGCAACAATATAGAAGAGTAATGTCTACTCTGCCTTACAAAGTTCGGTAGTACCAGAAACCGATGCCATACTCGTTTTTCTTGTTCCTGATTTCCAAAGGGAAAAGCAAAATGCAACCCATTATCGTTCGGGCACCTAGCAACCTGACTTAATTAAAACAATTATACGAAATAAGCCCACTTGAATTTAGTTGGCCTTATTTCAGAGATGAGACAGGGTGGAAATTTATACAACCACCTCCCCTCCTTTCGCTTTCCACATCGCCCATCCTTGCTTTGCTTTTGCACAGCCGCTAATTCAGCGTAAAGCATCCGCTAGTTTGCTGCCCTAAAAGACTGCAGGAGCTCTGAAAGGAGGGGAGGGGGACGCATGTTATCGACTTCTGTCCTCACCTTGTCGGGCGTCTCCTTGGCAACACCTTGGGACACCCAGGCAACACAAGTCACAGGGCGACTCATGGCTCCAACTGGGAAACGGAAGCAGGAACGGGGCAGCCGAAGGCTTCCCCGCGCGTCGACACGTGCGCTGCCGACTTCCTGTTCGGCCCACCGAGTCCCCTTGCTGACGTTTCCATGATGCCCAAACACCCCCTCCCCCGTCGCTGGTCAAGAGCTACAGGCCTTTGGGGCTGAGGTCATCAACAAGCGACACGCGGGTCTCCGCCCCTTCACTATCAGGGAAGAGATCGCGGCAACGCCCCTCCCACTCCGTCAACGTCACTGGCGGAGATCTGGGCGGCGGGCGGGGAGTCCTTCCAAGTCCAACCTGGAATGGCGAACTTCTACAGAGTGACTCAGATGCTGCTCTGTGTTTTGTGCAAGCTTTTGACTTCTTACCAGATT